CTGGGCCATGATTCCCAGAATTGTGTGGTTGGCCTCTATTTTGTGATTGTAATTTTACGTTAAAGACGATTAGGGTGGGATTGTAACACCACCCTTACCCAGGTCACACCCCTGATCGAATGTAAAGGGAGTTTCCCTGGGGTGTGGCCTGCACCACCTTTTATCTCTTGAGATAAAAGGAAAGGGAAGCAAGCAGAGAGTGGGAGACCTCATTCCACTAAGAAAGCAGTGCTGGGAGCAGAGCGTGTCCTTTGGACCTGAGGTTCCTGTGCTGAGATGCTCCCAGACCAAGGGAAGACTGATGACAAGGACCTTCCTCCACAGCCGACAGAGAAAGCCTTCCCCTGGAGCTGAAACCCTGAATTTGAACTTGTAACCTGCTAGACTGTGAGAGAATAAATTTCTCTTTGTTGAAGCTATCCACTTGTGGTATTTCTGTTAGAGCAGCACTAGATGACTAAGACAAACGGCAACTGGCTTTTAAGTGTTTCCCAAGTCACAAGGGCTGTCACAGAATAATCAAATTCTTAAAGTTTTATTTACTTAGTAGTAACCTGGAATTGTGTTTTGGGGGATTGTCCTTAGTAATAATAACACTTTACATTTGTGTAGGTCTTTGCAAAGTAGATGAATGATATGTATTTCATTTAAATTGTTTAACAAAGTAGAGTATGAAGGACAAATATTTTCAGTTTTACAGATGAGATAACCAGCCAAGAAGATAATACATATGATACTGGGATTGTCTAAACATCATAAGATCAAGCTATCTCAATAGAAGGTCAAACACAAAAAAAAAAATCTTCAAATTCTGTGAGTTAGGTGTACATGTCAATGTAAATGTACAGGAAGATTCCCTCCAGTGAAGCAGACGTTTCTAGGGCAATATTAAGCACTTTATAAGTTTCTTAAAGACTTGTTATTGTTGACTGGCTTAGAGAGGGTCATTTCTGGTATGTGGTAAATCATAGTGATTGTTCCTAGTTCTCAGATTTGGGGATTCCAACTATAGCTTTGTGGTACTGAGCAGAGGGTTGTTTTCACTAATCTGCTGATAGGGAAATAAACAGAATGAACTTTATATATGTGCTGTCTTTCCATCTGTTTCACCATAAAAAATAATCTCTTTTTCACCATTCACTTGTACCCACATTTTGTATGTTGTAGACCTCTGTTCTTTTCAAGAATGTGTTTTATCTTCATTTTAACTTTGTTTTTCTTAAATAAAAATTGGATGGGGGAGCAGACTCAGGAAGGGTATGATTTTCTCCTGGGGCTTTAAAGATAGCCTAATACGTAGATCACTGTTTATATCAAAATCAGCATAGGTCACTCTTAAATCAGAACTATTGACACATGGAAGGGGAGATTGTTTAGTCTAGGAAGTTTGAAAAATCTTATATACTGCCTGAATACATAAGTTCATAAAGTGAGAATTTTATTCAATTCAGGCTATAAGGTTTGGAGAATTCTTCCCAGTTATGAAAGGGTTGGCATCAGTTTTAAGAATGAATGTGTATGTGTGTTTAAAGGTGGTTTTAGATTAACTTCTTTTTGAAATTTAAGTCTTCATTTTGAGTCTTGAAGGAAAGAAAGCTTTCTTTTTTGCTGGTCTTGACTAAGGGGTCTTTCAGATTAAACAATTAGAAACAATTGTATCATTCTTTAGGGACTGCAGAGTAGTCTTGTTTCTGGTCCAGGTCGTACTTAAATATTTATTCTAAAGGATGGTATATTTAATCTAAAAAATTGATGTTTACCAAGTAATTTGTATTTGCGTTTGACCTGCCGTTTTTATTTTAGTTGCTAATAATAACAAGAACCTTATAGGTGGCAAGAAGAGGAATGATATTTGATAAAAAATGGAGGTTATTACGTTAAGCTGTGAAATAGGTTAATGAAAACCTCGGAGATAGTACCAGAAAAATTCTATTTAGGTTATATTAAAGTTTGTGGGAATAGGTAATTGGAAGTGACTAAGTTGGGGGACTAATTTATAGAATACCATAAGTGCATGGTCTAGAGTTTGTATTTGAAGTGGCAGTTAGTGGAAATCACTAATTACTTTTAAACAGGAATGAAGAACGTAAAAAGACATTTGGGATACTTAAAAGATTGGAGTAGAAAGAGACTTAAAAAAAAAAAAAAAAAAGATCTGAATGAGGTCATTAGGGCCAGAAGGAGGAAATGAGTACTGCTATAAAGCAACAAAGCAAATTTTGTTACAAGTCTGTCATTGTCTACTTAAAAATTAAATATGAGACTGTTTCAGAGTTAGCTATCAAGTGTCCAGAATAAAATGTTCTTCCTCTGATTATCATCTACAAGGATTTATTTTGTAACTGTATCGTTTACTGCTTTTTTAATATTACTCCTGATGGTAATGAAAAGAAGAAACTTATTTTTAAACCAACACCAAATAATTAGGAATTCAATTATAAAGTATAAATGATTTTTTCTTCTGTTTCTTGTTAGTGCCGAAAACATTTGAAGAGTCGGAGATTAGTCAGTGCAAAACAACTTGGTGTGGATAGAATTGTAGATTTTCAGTTTGGAAGTGATGAAGCCGCTTATCACTTAATCATTGAGCTCTATGACAGGGTAAGTTAAATTTGGGGAGGTGGGATGAAGAATTTATCAATAGATTGTTAATCATTCATGCAATAGTGGTGTAAAAATGAGTGGGAACATTTTTTCTTTGTTAAAGGCTGTTGACACACTAGGAAAATAATCAAGTGCCACATAGGTAAAATGCAATTTTCTAATAGTAACCTTAACTATGTGCAAGTGAGAATTTAGGCAGACTGTTAATTGTTTAGAATAGCATTAGGAATGTAGGAGATGAAGATCTGAGAATTGAAGAAGTTACCTGGCACCTTACATTTCGAGTTTAGTGTAGTGAAACCAAAAAGTAGTCAAATAGTTATGTTATAAATAAGACAGCAGTTGAGATTTAGGGACATTGTCATATTTTCATACTGTCTTGGGTTCTGTCAGTCTCAAGGGGAGGACTGCAAATGGCCTTACTATCCTTGCTTCCTGTCTCTTACTTTTTCCATTGGTCACCCGATTCTACGTGGGAATGTTTCAAGAGCTCCTTATAGCAAAATAAATACCATATGAGTCAAATATTTGTAAGAAGTGAAACCATAGAAGTACTAGATGAAAATATGGATTAAGATTGATAAACTTGGGATAAAAAGACCTCTAAACCTAACAGTGAAACCAATACACTTTCTCCTTGCTTACCGACTATCTCATTATCTGACATTTCGCATTTATGATAATAGTAAAGAACTACTGCTGACTGTTTGGAGCATTAACAGCATACCTCTGGCAGCAGTGAACACCGAGGTGCAAGGCAAGAGTTATGCTGGTTGTGATGGTTAAGGTTATATGTCAGCTTAACTGGGTCATGATTCTCAGTGGTTTAGTGGTGATGTAATGATGTAATTTGGCAGTTATGTAATGGTATAATTTGACGATTATGTAGTGATGTAGTCGTCCTCCATTTTGTGATCTGATGTGGTCATCCTCTGTTTTCCCGTAACACCAATTTTGCATAATGACCTGGTCTTTGGAATGTATCCACGTGGATAAGTGAGGAGAGGATGTATTGATTGACTGCTTAAACAACTTTAAAATTTGTGTAAGGCAGAAAACACCATGGACTAGATTGGAAGATGAAAAACTGGAAGAAAATACTTACAACCTATATAATAAGTAAAATGTTGATAATCCTAATATGCAGTTCTTACAAAGTACTCAAGTGGAAAAATGGGCAAAGTGCTTTATTAGACAGTTCAAAAGGAATGGATACAAATGACTTATAAAAGCATGAATCACATGTTTAAAACCAATTACTGAAGAAGTAAAAGTAAGATTTTTCTTCTTCCTTCCCCTTCTTTCTTTTTTCTTTATTGGTGTATAGGAGATTGTGAATTTGACAGTAACCAGTTTTAGCAAGAATGTAGATACACGGCAAATTAGAACATTATTTTTAGAGGATAGTTTGAAAGTTTTTATGTATAACCTTTGACCTAGGCTTTCTACTTCTAGGAACTTATCATAAAAAGCAGTTTTGAGACAAGAGCTAAGGAAGGTCTATACTGAGAGTATTCATCAGTGTTTATAGTAGTTAAAACTTAGAAAGAACCTAAATGTCTTTAAGAGATTGGCTAAATGATGAAGGTATACCCATACACTAGAATACTTTGCAATTTTAAAAATGATAATGTAGAGCTAAATTTATATGTATTTTATTTCTCATTTTTTACAATATTTTGTAATAGTTTTGAGCTTTTTATTAGCGATATGACACACATATCATAAGAGTACGGTTTAGTGAATTATCACAAAGTGAGCATACATGTATTATTGATTGCTGGGTTACAAATTACACTAAGACTTAGTGGCTTAAAACAAAAATTCATTATCTCACAGTTTCTGTGGCTTAGGGTTCTGGGAATAACTTAGCTGGATGTCTTTGGTTCAGTTCTCTCACGAAGTTGTGATCAAGCTGTTGGTTGGGGCTGTGATCTCAGCTGAAGTTCAACTGGGGGCATCTACTTCCAAGTCACAGAGTTGTTGACAGGCCTAGGTTTTTCACCACATGGGCCTTTCCACAAGGATTACTCCCTACATGGCAGCTGGCTTATTTCCAACTCTAAGGGAGGTAGACTTTAACTTTTAGAAAACTAATAACAATGCAAATGATTCTTGCTTGATAGAAGTGAAAATGAATTTCATCTGTCCAGAGGAAAAATGTATCTTTAAAGGTTACAGTTTTATTGTCCTGTGGCACACTAACCGGTTTTTATCTAAATTAGCTATCACATACAATCGTTCTTCTCTCTGCCACTGTACATACCGCAGATAATACACCCCTTCTACGTTTGTTTGCCAGCCATGCCCTCCCCCCTGATAGATATTTTCATACACGCTGTGCTAATTTTTTTTTTTTTAACAGCAACATGTAAAAAAAAAAATTGGCATAGCAGTGCTTATGAAAATACCTCGCAGTGGGGAGGGCACGACTGGCAAACAAACGTAGAAGGTGCGTGTTACTTACGTAAACGCACGGGACTTTTACTCGCTATATTTCTCTTAGGACAGCTGGTTCCATCATTAATTAAATAAATTTTTGACAGTTAACAAATGTAGTATATTGTCTTCTGACAACTACTGCTTTTATTGAAATCAGTGTCAGTCATTTTGTTGCTCTTTGAAGATAATCTGGTTTTTTTATCTGGATGTTTTTAAGATTTTTCTTTGTCTTTGGTTTTTAGTAGTCTTGCAATGCGTTGCCTAGGTGAGGTTTCTCTTAATAAGAAGCCACAGTGTTTATAGACCTGCCCCATACAAGTATAACAGTAAGCTCAGCTGGTGGTCATCAAGGTGTTATTGTACTTCTATTAGTGACTTCTACAGAAGCACCAGATAATGAATTTAAAATTGCTCTAGATTCCTTCATTATGTTTCAAATGTTGAATTTTTAGAATTTGTGTATCTTATTTCATAGTAGGAAGATAACAGCTTAGACCGGGCAAATGGAAAGAGTGCTGCTTAGATGTGACTCAGGTGTTCTTTTTGTTTTACAACTTCATTTTTGTAGACAGTAATTAAGTTTTTAAATGACGTTTTCTTTCTCAATTTTTAAGAAGTTTCAAGAATGATTTGGAAGAGCATTAAGTTATATTTTATTCCATTGCAGGGGAACATTGTTCTTACAGATTATGAGTACCTAATTTTAAATATCCTAAGGTTTCGAACTGACGAAGCAGATGATGTTAAGTTTGCGGTTCGAGAACGCTACCCAATTGATCATGCTAGAGCTGCTGAACCTTTGCTTACCTTAGAAAGGTAGTATGTTTTATTTATAAATTGATTTTATGTATATTAAAAGGTAAAATAAGTCATATGTTAGAATAGAAAGGAACTGTTGGGTAAGAAAATAATTGGTTTACTTGGATAAAAGAACTAAATTCAGACTACTTCAACTATATAAATGTGTATGGAAGCAATCAAACCTTATTTGTGAGTAGCAAATGTATGTCTTTTTAAACTGAACTTGGGTTACCTCACATGTTAATTATGATTTCCTGGTAAAGTGAGGGGAGATATTAGCTATTCTGTGAGAAGACATGGATATTTTGGGCAGAGTGCAAGGGAGATGGAAATTCTTGTTTAGCTAAGAAAAGGGAGTGGGTTGGGATAAGCTGATGATTGTATCTGTATTCTTCTGGTCAGGAGACTTTCTTGACTAATAGTATACAGCAGTGGTTCTCAAAGTTTTCTTCTCAGAATCACCTGGAGGGCCTGTTAAAACAGATTGCTGGGCCCTGTCTCAGAGTTTCTGATTCAGTAGATCTTGTGCAGGCCCCAAGAATTTGCATTTCTGTTTTATTTTTCTTATTTTTTATTTTTGTAGTATAAGTGAAAGTTTACAATTCAAGTTAGTTTCTCATACCAAAATTTATACATACATTGTTATGTGATCCTAATTGCTCTCCCTATACTGTGACAGCACACTCCTCCTTTCCACCTCTGATTTCCCGTGTCTATTCAGCCAGCTCCTAACCCTGTCTGCCTTCTCATCTCACCTCTCGACAGAAGCTGCCTGTTTAGTCTCGTGTATTTACTTTAGCTAAGAAGCACACTCTTCACGAGTATCGATACTCTTCACGTGTATCAATCTTTGTCTGAAGAGTTGGCCTCGGGAATTGTTTTAGTTCTGGATTGACAGAGAGTCCAGGGGCCATGCTTTCTGGAGTTCCTCCAGTCTCAGTCAGACAATTAAGTCTGGTCTTTTTACTAGAATTTGAGTTCTGCACCCTGACCTTCCCCTGCTCCATCAGGGACTCTGTTGTGTTCCCTGTCAAGGCAGTCATTGGTGTTAGCCGGGCACCATCCAGTTCTTCTGGTCTCAGGCTGATGGAGTCCCTGGTCTGTGTGGCCCTTTCTGTCTCTTGGGCTAATACTTTCCTTGTGTCTTTGGTGTTCTTCATTCTCCTTTACTCCAGGTGGTTGGGACCAATTGAT